CTGAAGTGCTCAATGTGTAGAAGCCATGTAACCAGGGCATTTTTTCCTCATGGTAGGTGTTAGGATTTTAGGTATGCGCTTCTTTTTTGGTGTTGCAGGTGGGGATGATAGAGACTCATCAGCCTGGAAAGTACAGGTGGTATTCAGCCCAGCCTCCTGCCCCACTACCCTACCAGCTAATGTCTACTTGATGAACCAGACAGACGTCTCTATCAGGGAACCTCATTCTGACACTAGGGAGAGTGGAATCTATTGGCACCTGTGTGTTGTTCAGCTACATTCAGCAGAACCCCCTGCATATATGTCAGAGCTTGATGTGGGGCTGGGAGAGAGCTAACCTGTTGTTGGCTTTGGACCCGTGCACTCATTCAATCAATGTACCCAACATCCACTCAACACCTCCCACGTCCTGGTTCTCTTCAGAGAGCACATCTGCCAAAGGGAACACAGGAGGACACCAGAAATGACCCCTCCATCGATCGTTGTAGCCCATTCAGCACATTTCATTTTTCAGATGGAGAAATGGTTGACCCAAACAATAACACTTCCTTCTGGAAAAATGTGGTCCTTCATGACTGGGGCAAGCATTCTCTGGGACCCTCAGGACTTTGGCTCTTAACCACAAGCTATTGGAAAAGTGCCTCCTGACTGTCCCTCACCCTATTCTCCAGAATGGAGTCAGCACAAATGTACTAACTGATCTCTTGGCACTGAGGCGAAGCCTCAAATTAAATGGCTCAAAGGCATTATTTTCTGCCATACAGTTTGGCCATCTTTCCTTTGGTGCAGTAAAATCTCCAATACTTGGAATTTATGATGCTTTGGACAGGGACTGGGCTAAAGTCTGCTTCTGGACTATTCTGCATAGAAAAGATTTTCGAAGAAAATTAATAGCTTGCCAAAAGAATTGCAAAGGGAATGCTTACTCCATTTAAGGGGGCCACTGTTCCACCCTTTACAAACACTCATGCATCTGCCAACAATTCATATGCTAATTTCAAATGATTTTTACACGTTCATTAAGTCTCCAGCTACAAGTATTTGTCGATATGATTATTATGCTTTGAGCTGGTTTCAAACACTAGGCTTTTACTGAGCTGAAACTTCTTAGGTACAAACTTTTCTAAACTAAGCAATTAACAAAGGGAATTAAGTTAGTACCATGTAGCATAACCACTCTGCTTTGATGATAATGAAAGAGGCCTGCCTACACTTCAGGTATCTTACTGATTCGTGTCTGGCTTCCATTCATCTGATACAGGGTGAGGTTTGACTGTGACAACCCTCAGCTCACCTGCCTGGGATAATCTCTGTTAAGATTTTTCCATCCTAAAATCATTCCTAAAACAACCCTTTCTCATTCATAAAAATCCTTGGTACAGGATATGAATTATACAGTCACTGCTGCAGACTTGATAACACAGATTAAAATTGCAATTTTGCAAGGAACTGGAGCTTTTTCTTGACTGAAAATATGTGGTCTTCCTTATATAAACCAAAAGAACAGCCCATAAGGACATTGTATCAATCAACTCAGAAGCCTGATACCTCTTCTTGTGCCCCTCCCCCTAACTAGATGAGAAAGCAGCTAACTTTTCCTGCTAGAAAGGAATTAAGAGTTCCAATCTCTAGTCTACCCCATGCATCAATTCCATCTCAATGTACTTGCCTGTCAGGAGTTGAAACCTGAAATGTTCACTGTCAGCATTATTTAAAAGAGAAATGGGGTAAGAAGGGAAAAAACACAGTACCAGAGGAACTCTTGATTTCCTCTTGGCTATTATTCTTTGTTATAGGAACAATTTCTATTAAACAAGTGGAAGCTCTTGTGAACATGCACACGCGCGTGCACACACGCACACACGCACACACACACACACACACACACACACACACACATGCTTCCAGGGTAGGGAGTATTTTAACTGATTCAGATCTCACAGCATTGTGTTTGGGAGCAAATGGTATTACTGCTATACCTGAGCTGACTCAGAGAAATACAGATAATTGCCCATGATGATCAGTAAACCAGCACAAGTTCCAGGTTTTCTTCTGCTAGAGTCAGCCCTTAGCCATGATAATATACTGTATCCTACTTTGCTCTACTGTTCTGACATTTGAGTCAGACATCTGCTTGGGGTTTCATACATTGTACATCCACTGCCTCATCAAGTATGCCTCACACGGGGGGGGGGGGGAGAAGAAGGCAGGGGCTGCCAAATGAGATTTGTTAGGAGTGCAGTTGTGTGATGTACACATGTTGTTGTGAAATCAACAAATTGCAACTACCACTCAGGTGCTAAATCATCCTCAGAGATAGATTTTAAATATCGGAGAGATGCTCACCCAGGGAGCCCTGCTTATCTACAAATATTAAGTAATATAAGCAACAGAACTGGTGAGTGTTTCTCCCACCTCTTCCCCCATCTTCTTGCAGTTATTAGCAACAGTCTGCTGGTTGTGAGCTGGGCTTGACTCATGGAATTAAACATTTCTGATGAGACCAAGTCCTCAGACTACCTCTAAAGGAAATAAGTCACTGGGGCTCTGCAGGTGTTGTGCCAGGACCCTCCTCCCTTTTTCCTCTTAAGAACTCCTTTTCAGAAACATTGGGCTTGTGCCCTTAAGTGTACACAGAAGAGTAGAAAGGAAGTGGAAGTTGGCAGTCAGGATGTGGTCGGATTGGGTGAGAATGGAGTGATTCAGGTTTCACAGCCACTTTGTTAAATGACAACTCAATCCCAATCCTTCCCGAGGACTTGACTACCAATGTTCCCTGCCCACTCTTCACCTCAAACCTAGAGAAACATCTAAACATTTGAAATCCATCCTACAGAAAGGCCATGGCTGTTACAGAAATATTGAAGAGGATCTTTCTAGCATGACATAAACAGGGGACTTATAGTTCAGACTTTTACTTTAGGGGTGGTTTTCAGGGGACAATAAGATTCGGGCCATTAAAAAGACATCAATAGTGAAATGATACCAGGAGAGCATGTCTGTGTGTGTAATATGTGTCATAGACAGATTAAATGTCTCAAACAGTTTAAATTAGAAATAACTTAAAGCTTCAGAAAGCATGAGGGTTAAGAGACTTTTTAGACAATTCATTTTTAAACAGTGTGATTAAGAACATGACCAAGCAAAGGGTATGTCAGGAAGACAGACCATGAAATTACCAAGAACAGTAGATGTTGTATGTACTTTTCTGAATTTTCTTTTCTCTCTCTATACCTAAAATAGATGGAACACTGGACCAAATCCCACACTTCTGGTCCCCAGTATTCTTTCCGCTAGTCCCTCCTACAAGGGCATTTTCTTTGGCCAATGCAGCACCTGCTTTGCCAACTGTAGGTGCACTCCAAGCGTAGAAGGGATGGCAGACAACCAGGAAGATAAAATTGCTGATGTCAAAACTCCCTACAAAGAACCTCCTTCCAAGCAGAGCAGTGTTAGCTTTTAAAGACGCTTGATATTATTGTTTCCCTTTCCCAGTTAGCATGCGTTGGGGGTTCCCCTCCTTCCCTTCTGCAAGTACTGGCTGCTGCTTTCAGCCTGCTGCAACTTACAGGTCTGTCCAGCTTCTTGTTCATCCCCATTCCCAACATGGGACATCCATATTTCCAAAAGAGAAACTCTATGAGCATCTATTACACTGAAAAAAGTTCCCAAGTATGGATTTGATTTTCAGGTATGACTGCTATCCATCTTCAACCTTGCATCTGCTGGAAAGTTCACATTTTGTTGTGGCAGACCAACCACTCCGCTCACAGCACTTTCCTAGACATATTTTCAATCTATTCCTTCATGCAGTCTGCTAAGATTAATAAATCCTCCACATGGCTCCACCCCTATCTACTGCTTTCTTTTTATCCACTCAGCCCCTCGCCTAACAGTAGCACAGATGAGTTTTCATAGGGTTTTAATTTTTCCCAACAGAGGACACAGCCTTCTTCCTCTCGTTCTCAAACTCCTCTAAATTGAATAATTCATGAAAAGAACTCAGCTTTTTCTGTGTTGGAATGCTTCTGTTTTCCCCAAGTCTCCTCTCCTTTCCACTCCATACCTTGTTCTTCCTTTTTGTTTCATTTCCACCTTTATGGTCCCTTCCCATTATTTTAACCACTACCCAAGGATATGTTCTTATTCCCAAGTTCTAAATAGTCTTGTTGATTCTTTTTTTTTTTTTTTTTTTTTTTTTGGCTACAAATACCTTCAGGGCAGGTTTGGCTGGCTTGAGTTGTGGGGATCGAACCACAGCAACCTGAGCCTGACTGCTTTGTTGAAGCAGCCTCTTAAAGAACTGAGCTATGGGGCAGGCCCCCATTCTTGTTGATTCTTGAAAACCCCCCATAAAACTCTTCCAAGACCATCTTGACAATCTCGGAAGGCTCCTTCCTGACTCTTGAGTCTAGAATCCTGATTTTGGATGCTGGAGAGGAGTGAATTCAGCAGCAGCCAGAAAGGCTTGGAGGAGGGTTGCTGTTTGGGGTGTATTTGAAGGAACAGCATATGGGCTTTTTGTCAAAATGTTCAGAGCTCGCTAGTTTCTGAGCTGAGGACAGAAACGTGCTGCCACCTCTAAACACTGTCTGAGCTGGATCAATTTTCATCTTCTCTTGTACAACAATCATCCCAGCTACTTCGGATCCAGCATCCCTTTGCCCTCCTGCCCTCTGAGCTATGCGAAACAAGAAAAGTTTTTCAATCAAGTTGTACCCCAGCTGCACCGCCCACCCTAAGAAGGCAGGACCTCTTGCATACAAACTACAGGGTATTTGCTGAGTATTGTTCCCTTCTTCCCCCAAAGAATTTCTGACACTTCCAACTGGTTTTTTCCTTACAAGCAATTAGTTCCCATACTCCAGCGGGAGATACCAAGTAGTGACAGAAAGATAGGCGCTCTGGCCCAGCTGCCTGCACCCACCCTTCAGGATTCTGGACAGCAGGCCAGAAAGGGGGACCGTATGGGTCTCCCTTCCTACGATCGAGGTCATTACCTTGGCAGCGGTTTGCGGGCCGTGATACTAGCAACGATGATGCTCTCGGGACGAGGAGTGGCCACTGCTTTGAAGGTTCCTCGCCAGAACTTCTCAAAAAGCTGCTTCTCGCCCTGCTGAACGCTCGCCATAGTCAACCCAAAGGGGCCCGGGCGTCCGGGTGCTGTCCGAAGTGCTGAAACGTGGATTCCAAACTGGAGTCACACCCGGCTCTGGGCGCTGTCCGCGTGAAACCCAGAGGGGTGGGGTGGGAGAGATCGGAGTTCCGGGCGGGGGATGGGGAGCCCTAGTCTGGGCAGGCAGCGGAGAAAGGAAGCTCGTCCGCCGGCTTTCTTCTCCTTCTGTGTTGGCCGTGGGCTGCTCTCTAATCTTGCTGAGCTCCGCGCCCCAGTAAGGGAGAGAAGGGCTGGCTTTCTCGGCAGCGCCAGGAGAGAAGAGGCGACCAGGTCGTCTGTGTGTGCGTGCGCGTGTGAGCTTAGGCGCGCCCGGGTTTTGTCTCTCTCACAATGTGACGTTGGAAAAGGAGGCTGGTAGCGCGAGCTTCACTTTCCTCCCCCCTCCGCTGTCTCTCCTCCTCCTCTCCCACCCCCTCCTCCCCGGACTCAGCCTCCCGCCGCCATCTGCATAACAAAAGCCCGCAGGTCTTGGGAGGAGAAAGGGCGGGGCGTGCGACTGTCACCCAGGCCCAGCGGCCAAGGAGTTGCAGCGCCGCCGTCCCCTTGGAGCAGCAATCCTAGCACCCTGAATTGAACCGGCAGGAAATCCTGCTTCCCAGAGCTCTGCCCTCCTCCATCATCCTGGGCATTTCTCCATCCCTTCCTTGTGTTCCCTGGGGCTCGAGCACCTTCTATCCCAGCCCCTTTACAAGTCTTGCAGGGAATCTATGGAGGGAGCAAGTAAAACTTGACCTCTAGACTCAGGCCAAACTGCCCACACCCTTCTGGAAGGGACCTGCGTGGTCCTCAAAGGGGGTCTCCTGCGCTCTTCTTTGTGGCTGGGGATCGTGAGATCCCCACCACCCAGAAAGTGCTATTTGATGGACAATCCGTCACCAATTCGGCTTCTCGCCATCTGCCGAGCCGGCCTCCACCCGCGCATCTGTGCCTGTAGCGCGGTGCAGGATGTCTCTTTTGTGCCTTTCAGTCAGCCTGCCTGCCGTCCCCGCTGCCAAATGCGTCCAAAGGAAGAATACCCTTCCCACACACCCCTTCCATTCCTAGGGGATGCAGCCACTTTTCTAAACACATGGGGTCGCGGATCAGGGGTGTTGCAGGAGGGTTGTAACTTTTTGATCTTTTCTCTCTCTTTTTATTCCCCTTTCTCCACCCCCTTGCTCCTGGCGTCAACCTAAACTAAACCTGATCTCAAGATCCAAGTAAACTCCAGACTGAGAGACTCTGGGTATAATTTCTCATTTTCCCTTGGATTTTAATTAAGAGAGCTTTGCGGGACCCCTCAGCCCATCTCTCCCTTGGAGGTTTTCAAGTTCAGCAGAATAGCTAATCGCTCCCACCTCCGGATTTGCAAACTGACTGAAAAAGGCCTCCCAGGCCTCCAAACACAGGGCACCCGGTCCCACTCTCAGCGGGAAGTCTATGGCTCTTTGCCTGACACTGGTAGTGTGGGGACCCAAGGGCCAAGACACCAATGTGAACTTCAGAAATTCTTTGCATAGGAACAGAAGGTAAACGGCAGCGGAGGGCGGGGAAGAGATGGGGCAAGAGGAGCAACAACACTGGAATAAAACGGCATCCACCCGGAAGTGTAATAGGTTCGGTTTGTGCATATTCGGTGTTTGCGTGCCCCCTTCTGAGTGCCCGAGCGAGCTGCTCGCTCTGCAGTGACCCCACCTGGTCAACAACAGAGATGCTTTTGTTGCCCTCTGCAGGCAGCTGCTGCCAGGAGGTGGGGTTAAGACTGGGATGCTTGCAGGTGACCTCACTGCCCCCTCATAATGAAAATCCCCCCTCCTTCAACAGCTCTTAGGCCCTATTTCCCACCCTGAAGTTGACGCCACTTTCCAAGCTACTGAGAGCTGCCTCCTTAAGTAGCCTGGGATATTTGAAACTATCCAGGGTGGTGACATTTGGGGTAGGAACTGAGTCACTAGCAGGGCAGGGGTAGGTGGGTTCTACATCCACAAAATCAACCAACAGCCCCATTGTTGATTGATTACTCTTCTTAATTCCTAGAAGGTTAACGAAGGTCTCAGGTGCACCACGCTGCCTCTCTCGAACCCAACAGCAGCCAAGTGAGACGGCCGAGGAAGTACTTTTACTGCCCCTTCCCCTTTTGTGGTACTAGGGATTGAAACTTGGGCCTTCTCACTGAGCTACATCACCATTCTATTGTTGGGTTTGGTTTTGATTTTAGATGGAGTCTCCTTAAAGTTCCCCAGGCTGCAGGCATGCACCCCCACTCCTGGATGCTTACCTCCTTTCAAAGATGAGGAAGAAGTTGAAATCAAGGATGGGCAAGTGAGTTGCTGAACCTGACTCTACGGATAGCAAGGGAAATCTGTGAGAAATACAGTTTCTGTTTCTCTTGGGGGGATTGAGAATCTTTAGTATCCTTAGCAGTCTAGAATAGAAACGTGCAAAAATGCATCAGACATCAATGAGGACATAGTTAGAAGCACATCATGTTAACAGGAGTGGCAAAACCAGAGAAAAAAGCCTTTTAGAGCTTTCAATGATACAAATAGCCTACTGTGGTGTACATGCTGTACGTTCACCACCACTGTGTGAATGCTTTTGAGTTGAGAACTACATGGGCTAAACTTAGGAATTAAGAATTAGCCCATTTGGATTCAAATCCTAGCCCTTCCATTTCCTGGCTGTGTGGACTTGAAGAAGTGACTTCACTTACTCCTGCTTCAGTTTCTTGATCAGTACCATGGAGGTTCTCAAAAGAGTGAACAAATGTGCACAGACTACCTGTGAGGAGTAGACGTACCACATGTGCAGGCTGCAGAGCAATATCTGGACACAGTCTATGGAAGAATACCAATTAAGGGCCAGCCAGATAGCTCAGCGAATTGAAGTAGTTGCTTAGGCAGATGCAGGGACCAGTGTTCGATTTCCAGGAATGCTGTGCAGGCCCCACCCCCGGGGGCGTGCTGAGACAGTGGTTGAGACTGGGCATGGTGTACACCTGTAATCCTAGCAATTGGGAGGCTGAAAACAGGAGAAGCACTACGAGTCTGATCTGTGTAGTGAGATCCTATAGACCCTGTACCAAATACATAGAAAGAAAGAAAACCAGTTATAATTTGGGTGGAGCACAGCATGTGAATTGAAGTTTAACAGAACTCAGGTGTGAAGCCCAGCTCTGCTGTTTTTATCTAGAACTGAAATTATAATGATAATATTTCCCCACCTGTACCGTGGGGCACCATTGTATATGTGATATGATTTCTAAGAGGATTAAATAAAATAGTACTAGCAGAGTCTACATCATTCCAAGTGACCTTTAAATCAGAGGTTCCCAACTCTTGTTAGGAACCAGGTCGCACAACAGAAGGTGAGCGATAGGGAGACAAACAAAACTTCATATGTATTTATGGCTGCTCCCTGTGGCTCTCATTACCACCTGAGCTCTGTTGCTTACTTCCCTGTGAGCTGCCCATGTCAGGGATCTAGGTTGGAGGCTTCTCTGAATCATCCCTAAATCCTCTACCTTCTGCTCCCCTGCTCCACACCCCAAGCACCCTGACCTGTCCATGAAGGAAATGAAAACTTGGCTTTCCACAAAATCAGTCTCTGGTGCCAAAAAGATTCCAGACTGTTTGCAATGGTAGCTGTTATTGCTGATGCTGTTGAAATCATCACCTTTAATTTCTTAAGCCACTCCATGTTCAGCTCAGCAATTATTCACTCTTGACCAGTCTTAGGTTTTGGTTAGGCACAATCTTGGGTAGGGAGAAACAATCGTTTCCCTGGAGGGAAAAATTCCCTGGAATTTTTCACAGTAAAATTATTGCCTGGGTCCTCACTGCCTAATATTTGTCTCTTTTCTATATTATCACAGTGAGTGAGACTTTACGACTTTAGGTCTGGCCTTGTTAATATAATTCAAACTCCAGTTCCTCCATCATTTTATCATAAGGCAACTGTCTGTGTCTCATTCTCTTGGGCTATCACTTTCCATTTTTCCAGGTAAAGACCAGCCTACTCCATAACCTGAGAACTATTAATATGCTGGTTAATGACTCTAAATGCGGCGCATAACTGCTGCTTATCTTCTGTCCTCTGCCAATGACAGGTGTCACTAATTCATCTAAGAATCTTTCTCAAGACACCCTTCCAGACAGGCATGACTACTAATTGGTTGGAGCTGGCCTTCTAGGTAAAATCAGTTTGTCATTCTTGTCTAGAGATAGTTTCTTTATCTGATTGACACTGCATTCATTTTACAGGGAGAGGTAAATTTTAGAGTTTGCAAGTCCAGGCACTCTAGAGGAGTAGCTAATGAGATTTGTATTGGCCAGCTTTCCTGTTGCTGGTACAAAATGCCCAACACTTGTGACTTAAAGAAGGAGAGTTTTCATTTAGCTTACAGTTTCAGGGGGTTTAGTCCATGGTTGGCTGGCTCGGAGGTACAAACATGATGGTAGCTGGGAAGCAGATTAGGGAAATCCTGCCAATGAAGAAGGAGCAAGTGGCGAGACAGAGTACTCAAGTCACACTTAACATGTCCCATGCAGACATGTCCCACACAGAAGTGTGCTTTACTAATTTGTTTGACAGCTCTCAAGCCAATCAAGTTGACAATTAAGCTTAACCTTCACAAGAACTTCTAGTGATCCGAAGATCAGCTCAGAGAAACAGCGACAGTCCCTCCTGAAGCAGTCCCAATTCCACCTAATATTACTGTGCTACCTTGGGTAAATCTTTTCATCTCTCTGCGTGCTGGACTTCTCTGAGTACAATGAGGCTCATCATTATCTACCATCATCAAGGGATTTCAGGGAACTTGACAGTCTGTACCCATTTTCAAAAGTCCAGTGAACAGTGAAAGAGTCAAATAATTACTGAGATAATGGGAAATATGATAATGAGACCAATCTGTCTTTGTGCCTTGAACAGGATCATGCTGAACCATTAAAACTATAAGATTTTGAATTTCTTCA